AAAATGCAGCTGGAGAAAGTAGTCTGAGTTTTGCCTTTGTAGTATAGCTAGCATCGCTTCATGGGATTTTCTGGGTGTGCAGAACTCCAGGCACTCATTGTCAAGATAGGGACTGGAATAGACACTGAACCACATACAGCACACGTGGATGCAATTATTATGTCTGGAACAGCAACAGCTTTAAGTGACGTTTTGCTAGAGAGAGTGGCTAATCTAATCGCTTCTCCTTCAGTCTGGGGCACTGGACTCAGAGGAGAAGAGCCCGCTGAACCAGCGGAACAGGACAGAGACGTAACAACTCTGGCAACTGGTGAACAAGAGACTTAAAACAAGTAATGTCCTGAAAAGTGAACATGAGCTGTATTTGTGCCAGTAATCCCTATTTGGCAAAAGCCAGGAGGGAAGTCGACAACTGCAAGATGCCAAGAATAGGAAGAAAAAAAGAAAACCCAAACGGGCTTTAAAAGAACTACAAAGAACTCCAGGAACAGGTTTTAAGCGTTAACAAGAAAACTGCATAAGCACTGAGAAAGGAACGATGAATGAAAACAGTCTTTGACAGGCAGCACACAGTTAACCGCAAATGGCCTAAATACCATAGGTACAAAAGTGACACTTAACAGGGTCATGGTGCACCTGGGCTTCCAGCTGCACCGCACCTTCTGCTGGCTGGGCTTCCCGCTGCCAGCTTCCCTCCTCTCCAAGGGGAAACCCGTGAGCCTTCCCCACCACCGCCCTCACTCTTTCATCCCAGTTTCTGCTTACTTTCTCCTGCCACCCCTTTTCCAGTGAGGTTATCGCCTGCACCCCTCTGCCCAGGCAGCAGCATCCATCCCTCTGGCCATGGATGGGAGCTTGCAGATGGGCTGCACTGCCTTCCCGAAGCCCCATGCCCCTTCCCTCCCCCATAGCACATGAGGCCAGCTGTTACAACTTCAACGGTTTTTTAGACGTGTACATTGACCTCGCGGCAGAAGCTGGGAAACGTGTGGGATACCACAAGCCCCCCCTCCCCGAAACAGGCAGCGAGACACCACTAGACACACACATACCCCTCCCCGTGCACACAGGCAGCGACGCCAGTCTCAAGATTCCCTCCCCATTGTAATTATTTTTGCTCCGCGCAGAGATTTATCACATGCAGCTGCCACAAGTTGTTTACAAGACACAAAAGCCATGAAAACACAGTTGACGAAGCCTGCATGTGAGCTGTTTTCCCTGGCATAGATTTGTCATACCTCTTAGCTCGCTTACGCCCTGGCTGGCCGTGCAGTCTCCAGTACTCACGGCAATGCCTTCCCTCCGTCTTCGGAGACGGCCCAAGTGCATGTTTTCAGTCAGAGCTCGGGTTTTGACACGGCTGCCTTGCCATTTGGTTTATCGCTGCAGCAAGAACTGCGTAACTCTCCACATTGTCTCATCATTTCTTTTACTGCTTTTCCCCCCTTTTTTTTTATATTCCATGGTAATAAATGTTTCCCAAAATAAACTTTTCCTTTGCTCTCCCAAGGATGACTGACCGGTGCATGAAGCCTTTGGTTCATTCGGTACTAAGACTCCTGCTCAGTTCCGGATCTTAACTGCAGCTTATGCCCTACATCCACCTACCTTTGATAATTTTATCTGGAGTTACTTCAAGTTTCTGCTCTGAAAGAATAGGTTCAGGCAAACTTCAATAGCCCGCACCAAAACTATCAGGGCTAGATTACAGGAAAGCAGAAACTCCCTTTTGATATTATTTTAGTGGGTACTCAATATGCGTCATTTTCTTCCTCCAAGTTAAATAACACCTCAGGGTAGGGAAAAGCTTTTACACGTGTGCCAGGTGCTACTCAGCCAAAGGGGTTTGGCTTATGACTACAGCTGAACTTCTAGGTGTAACCTTAACACAAGTAATAATTATAAATAAATAAATAAATAATTGGCCTCAAGCAAAACTGGTCACAAGTGAAGTCCCCAGGCTAAGTCAGTCAGCAAAATGGAAATGCAGTGCTCATCACACGGGCAGGACGTTGGTGCTCAGTTACACTAATGCCATTTTGTGTGGCATAATGGTAAATGAAAACAGTGCAGAGACCACAGGCTTTTACTTTCAATGCAAACTGTTAACCTGAATGGCAACAGCTTTCTTCCTCATCCTATTTTCATTCTCAGTACTGCAGCTGTTCTAGTGGAATTACAGAACTGGTCAGCTCAGCAAGCAAAGCTCAATTTTTTTTCCTAAAGTTGCTGACCTTTTTTTTTTATATTTTAAAGGGCAGACTAATGAAGAGTAAAGATCTCTGAGAATGCCCTTTAGTGATTCAAGTCCCCTACTTTTTCGCTACCCCACAGCACACCAGCAACTTGCTTTGAGAAAAAAAAAAAAGTGAAAAAGTCAAACAACTTAAATCAAACAATGCAAACATTTGCATGAGGATGTTTTTCCTTCATCAGTGCTCAAGGCGTGGGTGTAAGGAGTGTTGCAATAAAGCTGCTTCCTGCATGTGGACAAGGAAGCATCTTCCAAACCTTTACCAAAGGTGACGCTCCTCTTTGGGTGTCTAGCACCCTTTGAGAACAATCATCTGTGCCACAAAAGGGTGTCTTCTTGACCAACTTTCCCCTCAACATTGACCCCTGTTACACAAAAGTCTACTTTCATTTTATTTTATAATTAGCCTTTAAAAAAACCCCAAACAACCAATTAAAAAAACCTAGGTATCCAAGGAACAATAACCTAGAAGTATGAAGTAGAGTGTGTCCAAAGAGACAAGACAAGGCTCTTCCTGGACTCACATGCTATTCCTTGAAGACAAAGTATACAGCCATCTCTGGCTACATTCAAAGGTGTTTTTTCTAGCTTTATGTTAATAGAAAGTACTTTAAAAAAAAAAAATCTATATTCATATAGTATATTAAGATGACTGTGTTACCAAAGCTGATGCAGGCACGAGTAAGCCAGGGTTTAGTATTTGCCCTTTTTTTTTTTTTTTAATGTAATCATTGATTTAAAACATGGTTAAAGGCAGAAGCTCAGTAGAATTCCAAAGAGTACTCCAGAGAAAAAACAAAGAGTATTTCTGACACTAAAAAGAGATACAAAATGCATACACACTGCAGTCTGAACACTGCAGTCTTCTACTCATAATGATATCCTTAAATTTGCCAGTTCTCCTGCTCCACACAGCCCTCCCCCAGGCTCCCAAACAGACAACTGGTTTGTTTTTAAGGATTAGCCGGAACTGATTTTTTTCCCCAAGAGGTGTCTTATTTCACTGTTGTTGGAAGGATAAGGGTGGGTGACTGACATTAAAGTAAGTTGAAATGTGAGCTGCAAGTCTTCACATATTTCACTAATAAGTCATTTTGATAGCAAAGTCCTTTTCTGAAAGGTAACTTAGATTCTGTTGGCCAAAATACACCCCAAAATACATCGGGGATCTCTTCTAAATCTTAGTCAACCACCTGTTTGAGTATCTTACCAAGACCTGGCTCCCAAGAACTCAGATTTCAGCCCAATAGAGTCTCTTCTATTTCAGCCAGAATTACTGAGTCAAAACCTTGTCATTGCTCGTCCAAGAAATGTAAAAGTGGGAACCCTTGTCCTCCCCCCTCAAAGTTTGTCATCAGTGATGTCTAGGAGCTGTATCACAAAGACCTGCAAAGAACGCTCACCCCAACCCCTCCTTCTGGCCTTCTCATTTCATCTTCAGGACAACTTCCCCATGGGCTGTCACATCTCCTGGCCCTAAAGTATTTCTAGGAGCCAAAAGCTGGAACTCTCACAACAGCCTACAACATCCCCCTGAAATTTAATGGGAGTTGCCTACAGAGCTGCCTTTGGCCCCTTTAAAAAAACTCGACATAGCAGAACACAGTCAGGTACTTCTGGCCTAGTTTTCAGCATTCCTTTAAACATCTGGTTAACAACAACTGCTAGCACAGCTCTCTAAACCAAACAAAGTCAGCATGAGCTCAAAAATATTTCTCACTTCCATTTATTTCAAGAGTAAATCTGTGTTTTCTGCAAAGCTCGTATTCAACAAAATACTCTGTATGCATCCATTTTTAAAGAAAATATTTTATTACATTATGGGAAAAAAGCATAATCATCCAAAGTTTGTACTGTTAAAAAAATTGAAAATTTATTTTAGACAGCGTGTCGGTATATTCTGTTCCACATGGGAATGATAAGAAGACTCTATATCATTACTAGATATTGCACAGTCTGAAAGAAACAAAAACAAATCACATGATCTTGGGAACCATCTCACATTATGAAAAACCTACAAAGAAAACATTAAAAAAAAAAAACCAACACACAATCCTTTCTTTCTACAGTAGCTTTAAGTTTATAATTCTTGGAATGACCATATTCCACTGAAGACCATCTCAGTGACAGGAAGCTTCATTTCAGCAATCCCTTGTGCAAATAAGATTAATAAAAAAAAAATAATAATAATGCAGTGAAGTCTTTTGATATCGTGTGGGTGGCAATAACCACACAACTGTTAGATCCCTGCCTGGAAAAACAATACGGGGAAGAAGAAGGAAGGGGATTTAGGCCATAAGTTTCGCCTGCAACTCCATCTCTGCCGCCCTTTTGAGTGCAACATCCACCAATAGCTGAAATCCACTGAAATCCTGGTTAAGGTCTGGTGGGGTTGGAGGAGGAGTGTTAAAGAGCCCACTTTGTGCATTTGCACCAGGTCCCAGTTTAGATGCGTCCTCATGGTAGGAGAGGGAGTTGTCTGTGAAGCCGTTGGCTGGGGGCTGCTGCAGGTCTGTGGTCTGGCCTACGTCAGCCGGCTGGCAAAAGTGGAAAGGGGCATCTTTCAATGCAGTCACAGTTGTGTGGCAAATCACCGATGGCCGAGCCAGGACCGATCCCGGGGAAGCCGGCTTGGAAGAGGACACAGTCTTGCTGAGCGGTGCGGCAGCGGGAAGGAAGGCAGTCTCCTCCAGCAGGGGAATGTAGTTCTTTGTGCTGACGGAAGACTCCACCAGACCGCCCTCGGGAAGCTTGGTCCCTCGCCGCGAGATAGTGAATTGGTTTGGGTCTTTGCCATCCTTCCTCAGCATGTCAGGTAAAAGCCTGCGGCGTGCATTGATAAACCAGTTGCAGACCTGGGAATATAATGACATCTTAATTTCTACCTTCACTCATATCCAACTATGTGCCATTAGAGTCGTTGGGTTAGATTAATGAATCCCTCCAAGCAGTTTCCTTAACTGCAGAACAAAAGAGAGGCCTACTGACAAGTTCTGACATGCCTGGCAAAGGCCCTTCCCTTGTCCCTGCTCTACCCCCAGCTCCCCACTCCTGTTACAGAAAGCCCGGGGACATCTGAAGACTGCTAGCCCAAACGGAGGGGTTTAGCTTTTAACTCTGTGCACACACATTAACCTATTAGCTATTGTTCCCTATGCTTAGGTTAATTAACAACAGGAAAACCTTTTCTCTCTGAAGAGAGCCACTCCTCCCACAAATAGTTACTGATTTTCCTTGTTCAACTGACTGTGTCGACAGACATAACATGAATTACCTCATTTAAGTTTGTCCTTGTTTAAATATCAAACCAGTTTCCTGGGCGATACAGGATAGTTTATAGTTTAACGTCTTTTTTCTGTCTACTACATAAAGGAGGTTTTCTTTAGGATGTTACATTAAGGAAATTTTACTTCATAGTCAATTACAAAATTTGTACTAATGAATTAACCTGGAAAAATAAAGCCCAGAAGTCAACAGGAACACTCTATATTTAGCACCTCTCAAAACCAAACCAGCGTTTACCCAAGTTCTCATGCAGCCACCTTCCCACGAGGTGGAAAGCAGCAGTTATCAATAGCTATTCTACCAAAGATGATCACAGAAAATGAGACTAATGTGTCCAAGGGACCTCGCAGCTGCCAGCAGTATCCCAGGATGAGAATCCAAACTAACAACACAAAAGCCTCATCATACCTATACTAACACACTTGAGTAGCTCTATCCCATATAGGTTGTTCCACTGATCTTAATGAAAGTTATCATACACGTAATTATATACATGCAAGCTCTACAGGAATGAGTCTCAAGCTGCAGTTTTAGAAGTGAACAGTTGTATCTTGAGCTGCGTCTCTGTCACCATAAAGCCTCTGTTGACAAATAAATACCTCCTCACAATAAATTACCTTATACAGACACTTAATGTCTTTTGGGGCCTGATTCCGAAAAAATTAGCATGCATGCTCAAATTCATGACTGTCTGTTCTCCCAGAGAAGTAATTTTATTCCAAATAAACAAAGATCATCATAACACAATTCATTTGTATTTCTCCTTACAAGTGCCATCAGACGGAGAGTGAGTAACAATAAAAAAGGAAATCTCACATGCAGTGTAAAAACTTGTACCAGTGTTTACACCACAGGTAAATTAGGAAAAAAAACCACAACCAAACAGAAAACAGCTCCTTCTGAAGTGAGAACTACTTTTTTTACTACCTGTAGTGTGGAAAGGTGTGTTTGTCGGGATAATAGCGCTTTTTCTTGCTCTGAAGGATAAGCATTGTATCGGTGCTCATATAGCCAGTCCCGAAGAATCTGCACGGATTCCTTGGGCAGGTTGCCACGTCTCCTCCGTTTGCCTGAGCCAGCAGATGAGGAAAGATCCAGTGGGACATCCATAGTGTCATCATCCTCCGTTTCACTGCCTGATATTGCAACTACACCTACAATTGTAAGAAGACAACAACAATCAGCCTCCTAAATCCATAAACTACTCAGCTCCAGCATTCTGTAGTTCAAACACTTTTTATTACGTTAACCGTCTTTACTATGAATCATAGTATAGCCTCCTATACAGGAGACTTGTCCATAGCGTTAACTTGTCAAACTGTAGCTTTTTTGTCAGCTGAACAAAAAGTAGCACCAATGATGTGTTCCTAGGGGAACTCTTCTCTGCAAACCCTCGTTTTCTTGTTCCCCTGGCAACCTTTTATCTGCTGCATGTTATCAGATAGCTTCTATCTAATGCCAATATGATCCAAATTTGCTTGCTATGGTATGCGTCCAACACTTTTCTGCAAGAATAACTATCCAGTGGCTGGGCAAAAGGTCAATAAGCAAGAACTTAAAAGACCCAACTCAAGCAATGGGTTATTTAATTACTTCTTAACTTGCTGATGCTTCCCTCCTGGGAGAGACAGCTTGTAGATTTTATGAATTAATAGCTCATTCCAGATCTATTAATAAAAAATAATGGAACAAGACAAGAAGAAAAGTTGTGTCTGCCCCCACTCCCGAGTGGAATGTCACTTAGAAAGGGAAAAAAAAAAAGTGCAGGAAAAGGAAAGAACTGGGTGCACAAGAGTCCACTATTTTATCAGGAGATGGACTTCTTTAATTTAATTGCACTTCTGTATCGAAGAACCACGATCATGTAATATTTGGGTTTGTTTGCTTTAAACGTACCACTTTGCATCCTGATTATTTTTTCAACTTTATGGTTTTCATCTTGTATTTTAATCTGTGGAAATGTGTGTTCTGCGCTACACTTAATACAAAGGCTCCAGATTTACAAGTTAACTGCATGGCTTTTTTCTTCAACACAAAGGAAGGAGCAGATTTCAAAATTTGATTATCCCTTTATATATACACCACACTACTAGTAACATGAAGCTATGGTATGTAAATAAAATTAAAACAAACAAACAAGTATTCAGTAGTTAGGAAGATTACAATTCTACTCCTTTAGTAGGATATACAAGTCATGGAGGAAACAAGTAGTATTGTAAAACACAAAGAAAACCATGCTGTAAATGCTCACCAGGTTAAGCTCACCAGAAATTTTAGGAATCTTACAAACTATATATAAATCCAAATGAAATACCACCCATTTTCAATTAGTACAATACTAATTTCAAGTGAAATGATACTGGCTTTCGGAAGCATTTTCTAGAAACTACAGAAGGAAAGTAAGCCCTTTATCTTCCTAAGTTTTGAACTTAGACTGGGGGGATGGGGGGAGGAACTTGCTCATTCATAACGTCAAAACTAAAAACCTTAATAGTAAAAACAAGTTAAATGTCAAAAGTAAAAATTTTATCTTGGCAACCACCCATCCGCAATTCAAAAATTCTGTTCAAGGAAACAAAGTCAGCCCTAAAATACAAGTAGTGTGCCCGTGAAACTACAAAACTATATAAAGCTATAGTTATATCCACAAGTAAAGAAACAGAAGGAATTAATGTCATTTAAAAAAAAATAAAAACCAAACAAAAAAACCCACCCCACAACACAGAAAGAAAGAAAGAAAGAAAAAAAGGTGTGCTGCGTGCAAGTTTTCCTTAATACTTGGGGGGGGAAGCGAGGCGGACCTTTCCCCACACTTTCAAAACTTTAGCCAAAGCTGACGTGGTAAATCATTCTTTCCTTCCCCTATTTATGAATAGCTCCATCATCCTTAAATTTAGTTTAAGATGTCCAAATTTCAATGCACATTTTTGATATGCAAGTATTCCCAGCAAGATGATCAATCTGCAATTTATCTGGTGTAGTTACTTCAGTAACTTAGTATTGTTTTCATTCTCCCAATCATTAATTCATATAACAGACAAACACCAAACTGACATACCAAATTTCTCTTGTGATGATTAGCTACATAAATTATCCAGTCATGGAACAGGAACAATAGGGCAATATTTAAATAGTCAACACAAGATAAACTGCAAATTATGTAAACAGGTTCTTAATTCATGTAGAAAGTATATCAAATTTGCTTTAAAACGATTCCGAGCAAACTACTTTATATTTGTCATAGCTTCACGGAAAGTGCCGTCATGCTTGCAACCTAACCTGGGAACACGCCTTGCACAACAGGCTCCTGGAGCCATGAGGAGCAGTCCTTGGAACAAAGATCCTGCACGGGCAACACGGTGGCTCTGCAAAGCAGCTCATCCCTTTTAAATTGAGTTTAAAAACTAGCTAAAACTAGCCTACACTATTCAGACAATGTTTTCAAGTGAGCTGTTCTTGTTTGTCAGAAACCAGAAGTATTGCAGCACTTCAGTGGGTTGGGTTTTTTGTTTGTTTTTAAATATAACAGGCAGCAAGACAGGACCTTGGAAAACAGGGAGAGGCAAACAGTGAGGGCTGGAAATAAGAGGGAAGAGAAGCCAAAGAAACTACTCCTATGAGAAAGTTAGGTGTCTAATGGTTTGTGAGCCACATTTACGTGGCATAACAAAAAGTCCTCCAGCCACACACCAACCCATCTGGAGTAACCTCTGCAAGTTCTAACACACAGCTAAAAGACTCCATGAGAGTCAGAAAACTGATTTGACAGCAAAACTTCTTCTAGAAGAACTGCTGCTCTGTTTCACCTGAAAAAAAAAAAAAAAAAAAAGTGACAAAATACTGTCTGGAAGCCAGCAGCATAAAAACATTTCTCTATTTTGCAAACACGATCTTTTGCTAAAGTAAAAGTTGCCGTCTGACTAACCGTAACCTACCTAGCAAGAAATGAGTCAACAGCAGAGCCTGCCCTTTGACCCGCTCGCTTAGTGTGTCATATTAATTGACACAGTAAGTTAGTGACACAAAGCAGGTTTTGGTTAAGCAGGAAACCCAGTGTAGTACAACTTCTGCTCATTTAAATAAGCTCATTTAAATAGCTGATCAGCCCTCTGAGCTTGTGGCAGATCTCTGCGGCGCGATACAGAGCGAGCAGCAACAGGAAGTCATGGCTAGAAATCTCGCACTACCCCAGCTGATATTTTTTTACTAGAGCAGGAGCCACGTTGTTGCTGTCAAGGCTCTGTTTTCTCCTGCTGATTACAACCCAGCTTTGTTTTTCCGTCTTGTTAGTAATCAGGCTATTCGCTGCTGGTTTCCTGTTTTAACAGGGCCCAACTGAAAAGGCTTCTGGCTGGGCTCCACGACTGGACCATTGGCTAACTGTTATTTACACCCAGAATAAAGGCTTGTGGACACGACCAGTAGCCCCAGCTGACCTACTCTTAAAAGCAGGCTAACGCCAGGTTATTTTATGTCTCCTCCAAAATACCTTTAACCTAAACAGAAAAACTGCTTTTACAGGACTAAATTAAAGCAGCACAAGTTCATTTGCAGAGAGGTCTGAGAAACAATACAAAATCCCAGTTCTCCACTCCCGCCATCACCACTTAAACAAGCAGTCCATGCTATTAATGACCTTAGAACTACACGATCAGCATCCCTTTTTTATAAATTACTTTATCCTCCTGGCTTCCCAGCTGAAGTCATATACATGATTGAACGCACTGTTGCATTGTATCACAGCCCAAAGACTTTACAGGTCCTCCCGTAATCAGCTCAGGGAAGATTACACCAAGGATCTCGAGTCTAGGCTCAACACCCAACCGTTAACAGCTTGGAACAACTTGAGTAAAAGTACAGTGATGACTAAAGTTGATTTCAAAATAAACTACTGCTACTTAAGAAGGCATGCTGAAATGCCTCGAGGGGGAGGACAAAGTACTCAGGCTGAGAAAAATGAAATGGAAGTTAAGCAAATGAAAAACTTAGGCTGAATATCAGGAAAAAAACCAACTATCCCATTGTGTCGAGGAAGAGCTTCACAGAGGAAGTGGCAGAAGCCGATTGTTATTCAAAACAGGACAAAGTATACCACAAGGAACAATCTCTGCCCTCCAGAGAGGGGATGGACAAAAATCACCTTACAGAAAACCTCCACCCCTTTAGGGTTCTCTGAATTTAAGCAGCCGGATTATTTTTTTTTTTAATGAGCACAGACAAACAGAACCAGTTCCCATCTAAGGCCCCGATCCTGTTGTAACCAAGTTCAGTAGGATTCCTCACATGTAGAAACTTGAGCACATGCCTGTGTCTTTGTGAGATTGTATTCCAAATCAGCTAATTAACAAGCTGAATATGTTCAGTGTGATTGCTATCACGTTATTATTTATAAATTAAACTATCCACAGGGTTTTAATCCACAGCCTGTTACCTAAAACAAAAAAACCCCAACCAAAACAACAACCAACAACAAAAAATTCCAACATATAAGCACAAAAAACCTAACTAAAATTTAATGTGAATTTAAAAACCAACAACAAAAATAAATTAGTTTAAAATTATTCATAAGTAACCAAGAAGTACAAGGATGCAGAAGGGAAATTCCATAGTTAAAAAAAAAACAAAACAAAACTTTTTCCTCTGAATAGGTTTCATAATTGAGGAACCAGCTTATTTGTTCTCCTCTGCATTTCACAGCTTGCACTCTATCGTTTCTAAAGCGGCCAGACTTGGCTATGCTATACTTTTTTTTTTTTAAAAAACTGGATTTTTCTAGGAGTGCAAGCAAGAAATCTGTAGCAAAGTCACTTTTTGAAACTTCTTGAATGAGCCTGAAATTTCAGGAGGTCACAAATAACTACAAGCCCAACCTTTAATAATAAAACAAAGGCACCCTAGCCCTAACATCTTTTTAAAAGTTTCCGTCTTTGTCTCCTCACCTTTTAATTTCTGCCACGCAAACCCCAGGCCCATGGCCCCTCTCAAAAGTTCTCCCTCCCGCCTGTCACCTTTCATTGTTTCCATTGTTTCAGCCCAGGACTTGCAATCCTCAAAGCAAATCTTTCTCCCCCCTCTCTCTCTCTCTCACACACACACATACACACACACACAAAGCCCTACACATGCATACCTAGAAACTACGTCAGCGTTTTTCACACGCATTT